GGCCGTCTTCGTCGTTGCGGCCGTCTTCCTCGTTGTCATCGTTGTGGTCGTCTTCGCCGTCGTTGTCGTCCCCGTCGTCGTCGTCCTGATCGGTGTCGCCATCGCCGCCGCCGTCGTCCTTGTGGCCGTCGTCGTCTCCGTCGTCATCGTCATGCTGATATTCGTCTTTGGTGTCGACGTCGTCTTGGTGGTGGCTGTTGTTGTCGCCAGTTAGCGCCTGCCCTCCCGCCCATCCGAATCCTCCGCGCGCGGGACCGCGAGAGAGGTTGCGGGGCTGGGCACGATGCTGCACTTATTCCCCTCATCCCTTCCCCTCCCCCTCCCCCTCCCATCTACCTTCTCTGCCTCGTCTCCTTCCTCCTTTCATCCCTCCCTCCCTCCCCCTCCCTCCCTCCCTCTCTCCTCGCGCGCTTTCCCGAGCGCGGCGGCAAAAGAGGTCGCTGGGCCGGGCATGATGCTGCACTTCAACTTCCAGTTCAACCTCATCCTTTGGCCCCGCGGGCAGGGGGGCAGGGGAGCACCCGTGTGACCGGAAAATCAGACTCGGATGAGCTGGCCCGCAGGCGCTTCACGGTGCATCGGCAGCTGAAGCTGAAACCGAATCTGAAGTGCACAGAGAATGGAAAGGGTCCACCCTGCAGGTTTGGTTGACAGCGCATCGTTGAGCGGTGCTGCAGCCTCCCCTGAGCATAGGCCCCCCCCCCAGAGCATCAGCCAGACAAGGCGGGTTTGCATCCTCATGCCTTGCTGGACTCTGGGCGCATTTCGACACTGCCGCTGCCACCGTCGCCCTCTGGTCAGGGCCACCGACTCGGGGGGTGACTGCGACAGCGACAGTGGCGGTGGCCGACGCGTCCAAGCCTGGCTCCGTGCAAAGCCAGACTGCGAGGAGTTCGAAATCCTTTGCGCCGGACGGGGGGAGCAACAGCAGCATCAGGGAGGGGAGACCAGACCGACGGGGAGAGCAGTACAAACCAAGACAACGCAAGACAGAGGGGAGCACCCGTGCGACCGGAAAATCAGACTCAGGTGAGCTGGCCCGCAGGCGCTTCACGGTGCATCGGCAGCTGAAGCCGAAACCGAAGCTGAATAGCACATAGACATGGGAAAGGGCCCGCCTTGTAGGTTTGGTTGACAGCACATGCCTTTGGGGCAGGAGGAGGAGGAACCTTTAAGTTTTCTGCCCCTCGCGGGGCCCGCTCGGTCACGGCTGGCCTCGCAGCGCAGTCCTGGTCGGAACGAGCTCAAGACAATGTTCCTGGGTCGAGTTGGACGTTTTTCAACGGTTTTTATTGTCATGTATGTGGACAGGGCCAACAGGTACAGTCGCAATGTTTGCAGTGCGTTTCGCGTGCTTCCGACGACGTTGAAAGCATGTTTCACGGGACATGGGGGGACATTTGGGGAGTGTGGAGGGAGAGGTGCATGGGAGGACGGGAGAAGGACGGGGGGGAAGGGGGACAGGTACGAAAATAGCGCGGACGGGGAGGACGGGACGAGGATCTGGAGGTGCAGCCAGAAAATGTGAGAGAATGTTGGTTGAAGTTTCCACCGTGACTTCTTCGGCTCATTTAAGTATATCGACGCGTGAGCGAGTGGTGGGTGGGCGACGACACGACTTCCCGACAAGACGCGACACGACTGCGAGGGGACGGGGAGGAGGAGCAGGGGATATTCCACGGAGTGTTTGCGACCATTTGTTTCACACTTGTATTCTTGTTCGTGTGCGTGCCCCTCATGCTTGCGTTACGGCACGATCTGCACAGTTTTTATTGTGACTGGCATTTTGAACGTTTTGTATCCACTATCCCAATGCAGCCACAAAGTGGAGTTTGCGGACCGTCCCCCCTCTCTCCTCCCTCCCCCCTTGCCAGGGAGGATGGAAGAGGGGGAGAAGGGTCAGTGGACATAGAGAGAGAGAGAGAGAAACTATTGAAGGAGGCAGCGAACGAAGGAGGCAGACGGAGGATGCATGGATGGATGGAGGATGGAGGATGGAGGATGGAGGATGGAGCGTAGAGGATGGAGGATGGAGGATGGAGGATGGAGGATGGAGGAGGAGGAGGAGGAGGAGGAGGAGGAAAAAGAAGACAACATGTGGGAGGTGGAGGAGAACCTGGAGAAGGATGGACGAGGGCGAAGGCAGGGATGGTGTGAGGGCCAGCGATTGGGAGAAAAGGACGAGGAGGGATGACAAGGCGGGATGATATGGGGACGAGGGATGAGGGGGAAGATGATGGCGAGAACGAGTAGTATGAAGGGAATGAGGATTCGGAGCAGGTGGAGGCTTTGTGCCTCCACCTGCTCGTCATCCTCCCGAGAGTCCGCCTTTGATATTCCACAGCCTCGGAGTCAGTGTTCGCGCGTAACATAGTGTTTTCCGTATCCACCATGTCTGCTCTTTTTTTGGTTCTCGTTTCGAATTCCTGGCGTTCTTGATTCATTTGCCGCTGTTCGAGTTGTTTTGATCTCAGCTTTCGTCACACGTCTCTGGCATGTTCATCAAGCTTGATCCGGATTGCAATCCTTAGTGACGTGATTGATTTGATTTCTTCTTGTGGGTGGTCAGAGATTCGAAGCACGGCTTCTGAACATTGACCGCCGTCTTCTGTCGAGTTGTTGTTTTTGCCAGTGCCAATTGCAGCATTTTACGTTTTACTTCAAGCGGGTTGAGTATATAGTACATGCAGCAAACACGCCAGTGAGTTTCGGACTCCGCGGTCTTCACTGGTATCGTCAGGGGGCGCTCCGTTTTGCGATCCTGCAATCGGGGGTTGTTGAACTCGACTTCATATCCATAGTTGAGCTTTGGTATCGTTGTGTACACGTCGCTCTTGGGTGTTAGGCCAGTAGAGCTCGTACATGCACATCTCGTGTGGTTCACTCTTCACCAGGCTTGGAGTATGGTCTATCCCACTCACATATGGAATAACGCGAATCAAGGCAGCCTTACTCGGTTTCTTCTACTTTCGAGATAAGCCGAACGCTTTTAAACTATATGCTTGTGGTTCTCGCGTCCATGCTTCTGCTCACCATCGGTGCGTTTCGTCACGTTATTCTGTGTGCCAATCCCCTCCCGACTCCACCCCGCGGCACGTAATCTTGCACACTGCGGTTCCACAAGTACGGTGTTGAAACACAGTTCTCAATCTGTGACGGCAGTATATTCATCACTGTCACACTCGTAATCATCATCAGCATCACCTGGCTCAAGCCGCTCTGGCCCAAGCCAGGTCTACTTCTCTCCACCTCACCATTCCCCTCATCGCCCAGCGGGAGGCTGGGCGCCGCGATGGCGGTCTAGGTCGGCCTCAGCAAGGCCGGGCTGTGGCCGGCTGTGGGTTGCCGCTTTCAGGCGCAGATGCTAGGTCTCGAGCTCCTGATCAGCTGGGCGGAGGAGGTCGACGCCGAGGCCACCAAGGCGCAGCTGGCGGCGTTTCCGTCCGTCGTGCCGCGGCCCGCGCAGGCCTTCGCGACGTTCAGCCCGACGGCCACGCCTTCGACAAGCGAACCCGACAGCGAGCCCGAGGTCCTTCAAGGCACCGAGGTGGTTCACTACCGACTTGATGCCGACGAGGAGCTTGATGAGGACAGCAAGTGGAAGGCTGAGACCGAGGAGATCGACGCTTTGGAGGCGTGGTGGCAGGACTTGCTGCAACCGCTGGGCCTTGCGAGCTCCCCAGCGCAGGCGGTGGTGATGACGGTGGCCTTCAATGCGGTGTTCAGCCCCCCCGACGGCAGCGCTACCGACCAGGCCACCACTGGAAGCTCCGACGTCCACAGCGACCTCACGCGCTCTCAGGAGCAGAAGCTGCAGCTGGACGGTTGCCGCGATGGGGACGGCCAGGGCGTGAGGATTCCCGCCGCGAGCGACAACGGGCGGCTGACAGAGGAACAGCTCGAGAAGACGAGCGTGATCATCGAGGGCGAGCAGTTCACAATGTCTCTCCACGAGGGTCCACTTGGCTCCGTCTTTGGTGATTGGGCGTGCGGACCCCCATTTCGAGCGTACGACAACGAGTTGAGCGGTCAGGACGCCGTGGGTTTCGGTGACCAAGCTGGTTTATCAACGGATGGCAGCACGAAGAACTTCGACAGCGGGGGCGAAACGGAGCCCAACGCACGACCGCGTGGTCACGCTCGCGACCGCGGCGTACATCTTTTTCGGAGTTCGCCGACGAGCTGCCTGGGTGTCAGGACCCCAGGGGCTTCCAGGGCCTTTCGGGGTTCGCGCTGGACGGCAGCACGCAGAGCTTCGACGGGAGGCGCCAGCTGAGGCTCAAACGCTCCCTGCAGACCAGGAGCCAAAAGGCATGGGAGATACTCCAGCACATTGGCAAGACCCGTTCGAACGACCCACTGGTCCGCGGCCTTGGCTTCCTTACCATTGACGCCAGTCGCGCCAGAAGCACGGCTTACTTCAAAGCGTTGGCTGCGGTCCACGGGATGATAGGGGAGATCGACGTGGAGCTCATCGTGGCACGGGTGCAGGCATTAGCAAACTATCACCAGGAGGAGGGCATGATGGCCCTCAAGCGGGACGAGGCGCTCAAGGCGAAGACGCATTTCCAGGACGGGGTGGCCTTCGCCGACCTCCTGAGGTCCATTGCGGTGCTGGAGGAGAAGACGGGTATTAAAGTGAATATACTTTTTCCTCACAAGCGGGCCAGGCAAGCGGTAGCTGCGCACCTGCCCGACTAATTAATGCCCTAAGCAGCCCCTCCGCCCTCTCGTCGGGGCCGCCAGAGCCGAGAAGGCTCCGGAGGAGCATCGCAAGAGACAACTTCAACACTGCTACCTCCGCAGCTCCCTCCAGAGCCCTGCGGGTACCTCGCCCGGCCGACACCGTCGACCGGGCTCACTGCAGACCAAAAGTGGCCACCGACGCGCCTTTGATGCGTCCGTGTCTCTGCGAGCGCCGCTCGCGCAGCGGCGCCGCCGCTAGTCCGAGGCCAGACCCTGAGGACCAAAAACGGTCTGGCCCCGCTTGGTGAGCGCCCTCAGTGCTCCTTGGGCGTGCCGTCCTGGTAGTATGCTGGGCACTCGTTGCCCCAATGGCCCTGCTTGAAGCAGAACCGGCAGACGTCCGGCTTCAGGATCTCGCTGCTGATCGACCCCAGCGGCGGGACTTGTCCCTTACCCTTCTTGGCCTTGCCGCCCTTGTAGCCCTTGTTCTTCTCACCCTTCGAGCCCTTCTCACCTTTTCCCTTCTTGCCCTTCTCTCCCTTGGAACCTTTTCCACCCTTGCGCTCCTCGCCGCGCGTCTCCGGCGATGGGCTGCGGTCCGTGGGGAGTCGGCGAGTGCGTCGGCCTGGCGACGGGTCGTCGTCCTCCGACTCCTTTTCCTCCTTGGCGCGCCGCGCCGAGCGGGACCTCTCGTTGCGATCAGCCTCGACGCCAGCCCGCGCTTCCGCGGGCGGGTCGCCTTCCTTATCCGAGCTGGAGTCGGAGCCTTCCGAATATGAATCTTCAGGGCCCGCGTTCCCTCCGCCCGCAGCAGGCGGCCGGGTGCTGGTCATCGGCCTCCGCTGCGTCGCAGCCTGCTAATACGTTGCCGCGAGCGGGTACGTTTTAAGTAGGTGTTCTACCAACGCCCAGCGCATGTACATCCTACCGTCTTGATGGAGCACGTTGTTCCAGCAATGAGCCAGCTCCTCGACGCTGAACTTGCTGGGCACGAGCGCCCCTCGGCATGCAACCCGGAAGAAGTTGGACAACCGCAAATTCCAACCCAAGTTCGACAACTTGTCCACCTCCATCGGCGTGAAGACCATGAACTGGTCGGGCAACTTCAGCGCCGCGTGCTCCGAGGGGTACTCGTTGACGCTCCCCCCGTCACCTCCGAGGTGGCGCCTGGTGAAGCGCGCTGGGCCGCCGCCGTCTCCGCAGCCTGTGCGCTTCGGAGGCGTCGCCCTCCGCTCGACCCTCGCTGGCTCCGCCAGCTCCGTTGGCTCCGCCGGCCTCTTCGCGCCCAGCGGTCTCCCGCGAGCCTCCTCGCGCCTGTTACGGCTGCGGCTCCGGGTGGGCTTCGACCGCCCTGGCGTCTGATTTGGTTCTTTCCCGCGCCGCGGGCTTTCCTCTCCTCGGCGGCGGCTGCGGCGCCCCTCGCGCGAGCCCATCGCGTCCGCGTGGCCTCCCGCCGCGCAGCGTTCCTGCAGTGCAATGTCTGCTTGAGCACAGACAGCGGCGCTGGACACGGAGACAAGGAATGTTGATGAAACCCCACTTCGAGCCTCCGCACGCGCGCCGGCATTCAAGCTGGCATCATCAAACCGGGTGCGATTTATTTTCTCCGCGCAGAAAGTTTTACGCAATGGCCCCGGGCTCGGACCAGAAGGGCACACAAACGGACGCCGATTTTGAGGTGAGACCCCCTCCGGGGGGCGTTTCGCTCCTTGACTCCTCCGGATTGCCTGAGCACTCTCCTCATGGACCCTCGTACGATTTTGTTCCATAAATTCCCTAACCCGTTCTCTCAATCCCCCCTTTGTGAGCCCGTCCGAAATCATCCACCTGCTCGGGAGCCACCTGAGCCCCGCCTTCTCTTCATCCCGTTGCGGCCCACACGAGACCAACGATTTTAGCGCAGCGAGCCACGCAGCATCGTGTCGGTCGTCGGGGATGTTCCCTTCGACTTTCACGTGGTCGTACAAACTACGACAGTCGGTGAACGACGTGAGAGGCATCTCATCTTCACCGAACTCCACGACGGGAGTGTTGCTCCAACCGTAGGTTGCCTCACACAGCAACGCCCGCAGATAATAGGCCATGCCATGGCCTTCTAAGTACGCCGCCGTCTTTGCCGAGAACGTCGACGTTGCCACCCTGTGGCTGGCACGGCTCCGCCAATCCAGTATGGATAATTGGCAGCTCGTCCTGCTCCAGGCAATCGTGGTCGATGGCTGCCACCACCGCGCCAGCCTGCGGCCTCACCTTATGGCGATCGAACCGCTTGAGGTCTTCGTCTCCCTCAACTAGCTCGCCGACGTTCCCATACAGAGACGAATCGTGCCAACAACCAATGCCCATCCTCCCTTTGATGGGAACGATTCGAAGCCGCACGCCCCCACTGGCTTTCACGTCTCGGATGCATTTGTTCAGTTCCCTTGCGTCAGACCAGGTGGGTGCCCTTTGCAGTTTCTGGAAACGGTTTGTCTCGTAAGCTTTGTCGAGGCGGTACTGGCTCGCCAGCCAGTGGAGCGACCCCGTCGCTGACTGAAACTCCGCTTTCGCGAGGGGGCTCACAGGGTCCTTGCCCTTTGCCTGACGGTCGACCTTCACCTCCTCCAGTCTCCCCTCGACAAACTCTGGCATCCCCACCTCGACGCAGGAACCGTCAACCCTTATTCGACGACTGGTGTACACATCGCCCTCGGCCTGCTGCGCGACCACTTGCCAGGACCCAAACGGAAAACGTTCGCGCAGCCTGGCCTCCTTAGCGCGCATCTCGGCACTGCCGTCGTGTGCCAACATGCAGTCGTCGACGTGCACGATAAGCATACCTGCCGAGCGGTCGCCGCTATAGAAACAGAAGAAGGCTACATCGAGCTGCAGCTGCTTCCACCCCATTTCCTCGACCATCGCCTTGCGGAACGTGTTAAACCACGCCCGCGGTGCGTCGGGCAGCCCGTAGATGCCCTTTTCTACCTTAAGCAGCTGTCCTGGTTCAAGTCCAGGCAATCCACCCCGTGGTTGCTGCATGTATAGTGGTTCCTGCCCCTTGCGTGGCTCGCCTTGAGGGAACGCATTCGAGATGTCACCGATGGCCATTTGGGGTAGCCACCCCAGGTTAGTTGCCAACTGCAGAAAAGCATGGAACCCAGACCGCTGCACCGTGGGAGCGTCCGTCTTGACCGTGCCAAGCTTCGCGTCGGGATCGTGCTGACCCTGCACACACAATCGGGCCTTAGCCTTGAGTGGCAGATCATTTTCGGGCGTCCTCAACGCGGCATTCTTATCCTTGAGCTTCATGTCGCTCCCAAGGATCCGACTCCGGTCCACTGTCCGAAGCACCTCCTCGGAAGCCTCTGGCTCCAGCACTGACACGCATTTGTATCGGGGCCAGGGGTCCCATTCCTTCTCCACCGCGGCTCGGAACGCCTCGCGGCCCTTGGGTGCTATTTCGTCCCACTTAAGCTCGCGATCTTGTGTCTTTCGGTCCAGCAGCGCGGACCCCGTCCCACGGCGGTACGCCGTCATCACATGGTGGGCCCGGTTACTGGTGTCGCTCGGGCCTTCGCCCGTCCGCCGCACCGCAGCGGGTGTCTCGACCGTCTTCAACGCTGGGTCCCGCTGACGCTTCTTCTCATCCTCGAACACCACGAGCATGCGGTCCGCTGCCGGACGCCCCAACTCATGTGGCAGGCCACGGGGCAACCCACTGCCTTGAGCCTCGGCTGATGGCTCCTCCCCGGGGGCCTCCCTGGTCGGCGCAGGAAGGTCCACCTCGACCACCCCTTGGTTTCCTACGCCTTCCGGTTCCTGCTCGGATTCCCCGCCTTGAACGAGTCCGTCCGCAGCAGCTAGTTCCTCGGGCCCTGCATTCAAGCCAGTGAGGTCCTCAAACTCCTCGCGGCTCATGGCCTGCCGGATCTCGTCCAACGACCGCGCGAGGTCAGCATCCTCCGCCAGGTGTTGCTCCTCTGGACTCAGAGGCCTCAAATGTTCTGGCGCAACAAGAAACGGTTTTCCCCCGTACTGGACCCACACGTTGTCGTAACGCCTTCCGAATACCAGCGCTGGTCCGCACCATTCCGGTTCGTTAACCCTCCGACCACGCTCTGTGCGGTAGGGCCGGAAGAAGAACACGCGCTCGCCTTCCTTCCATTCCGCTGGGGTACTGCGACTCCTCGCGGCCACCGCCCTCCGAACCAATTCCTGACTGCGGGTCTTGATGAGCGACTGCTGACAGTGTTCACGTATCTTGAGTCGGCGTGCCAGCGGATCGCTCTCTTCGGCCACACAGGGGTGATAGGTCACCGCTTTACCTTCGTGCCAGCACTCGCCGACAAGCGTCATCTTTTGTCCAAACAGAAGCAACGACGGGCTGTACCCACACTGTCCTGGGAAATGGTTGAGGACAGATGCCGCCTCCCACGCGAGAGTTCGCATGTCCTCGATCCCAGCGTAGGCTCCGTGTCGGATCGTTTTCCTCATCACGTTCTTGGCCTCCTGGATTTTCCGCTCCACTTTGCCCTTCTGCCATGGCGCGTACGCCGCCGTAGGGTCGTACGCGGTGCCACTCCTGGAGAGGGCATCCACGAAACTCCCACTGACAAGCCCCCGCTCGTTGTCTGTCACGAACTGATGTGGTGGTCCTGCCCAGCAGAGCCACAAGCGCTCGTACTGTTCCCATAGCTCCTCGCTGCTATGTGCACTAACCAACCCGATCGTGCAATATCCCGTCGCCACGTCCTGCACCAACAGGAACCACCAGCCTGTTCCACTCTGGTCAGGTATCTTGAACAGGTCTGCTTGCACCACTTCGTTGAAGGTCAGGTCGTCCTCTCGAAGCCGTGCAGGCCGCGGGGGCCTTGCTCGCGGGCGCTCCGCGCAGCTAGAACACCGAAGTGCTTTGGCTCCTGCGATCGCTACCTCTGAGCCGCCAGCCTTGGCCACCAACCTAGCCAAATCTTCGGGACTCGCATGTCCCGTGTTCAAATGGAGCCGACGCAAGTTCCGACGAAGCTCTTGCGTCATCCGCTGGGCCATCGACTTGCCCATCGGAGTGTCTGGAAACTTAACGTAATACCTTCAGGGATCGCGTTCCCGCTGTCGGCCTCTCCGAAGCCTGTGGGGTACGATGCTGATCCGATTTCGGGTCTCGTCGCGCGCCCATCGCGAACACAGCGACCCTGACCTGAAGGCCGTGCTCCAGGGAGCCGCCCGCGCCACCCGATATGTTCAGGCTCCACGCGCGTCAGATGTCGCTTGAGCCCTCGGAGCACTCCGAGCGTTAAGGAATGTCGCCCGGTGCTTGGCGTGACACCGTCTCGCACCCCCGAGCGACGCTCGCGCACCACGGAGCACTCGCCGCAGCACCGCTGCGATCTCAGGGCAATTCGTCGCCCACCACGTTGGCTGACCCGTCACACCTCTCGCACACAGGCCACCCTTGACCACCTCAACCGAAGGGAGTGCCTCCACCGCTGGAATGGCGGACGAATTCCTCACCAGGGCGCACCCGCCGTTCTTCGCTTGCACCTCGAACACCTTCCGAGTAAACTCCAATAGCGACCGCTGCCGTCGTCGCTCGGCTCGCTGTCGCTGCTGATCGGCGTTGCTCTGGTGAACAGCGCGTTGGGCACCGCCCACGGCGGAGCCAGGGAGCTCCACCACACAGCCAGCCTCGGTCGCACCTCTGTCAGCATCCCTAAGGCCTCCACCTGCGACTCCTGCGCGAGGTCGGCTCCGCACCTCGCGTCCCAGGGCCGGAGGCACCACCAACCATTCTTGGAACCGATGCGGCTGAACTCACTGCCGCCTCCAAAGAACTCGACCACGTCCACGCGGTCCGACCCCCAACGGTGACGGGCCCACTGCCCGCCCCCAGTTTCCTCAAGCCAGGTCCCGAGAGTAGCTACGCCGAGCAACCATGTCGAGGCGACGCCCAGACATGCCTTCCGCACAGCCGTGGCGGCGGGACCCTTTAGTCGTCGGTTCCGCGCGCTGCCGCGCCCTTGCTTCCCGACGCCGACTGCCTGCGTGCTCGCAATGCCGCCAGCATTGGGCGCACCCCCTGCGCGTCCGCTGAACCGATTGACGGCTCGGCAAGCCCACTGCTGGAATCCACCTCCATGCTCTCCGCCGTCTTCAGCCCGGTCGACTCCCTCTTCTGGACAGGAGTCGATTTTCTCGAGCCGTCCACAGGGATCCGAATCCAATCGGTCTGCGCCCAGCTTTCGCTCACGAACTGCCTGACGTCTCGGATGAGCTCTTCCCTTGTTTTGTTGGTGCCGCTCGACCGTGTCAGCGGTATCTCCCGCACTGCGGCCTCCTCCTGCAGCTCCGCCAGCCTCATGTTCGCGAGACCTTTCGGGAGGGTTGTTCGAAGATCGTCCTTTTCCTCCTCCGAGGCTTTGGTTTCGCTCTTCTTCTCTCGAAGCGCAAGCCTTAACTGACCAACGGTCTCCGCCTCCGCGCGGTCCCTCCGCCAGCCGAGTTCCTGCATAGTCAGTGTAACCAGCTCTGCTTCCCGCATCTGCCAGATGCTTCGCGGCCCTTCCTCCCTCTGGCGGAGGGTCTGGACCTCCCGCTCCAAGTAGTCCACCAACAACTCCTGATACCAGGCCTTCCAGGCCATGAATACCAGTCGAATGGCCACATTCGCCCTCGCAGCCCCGCTGCGGCACTGCACGGCAATCGGGCGCCATGGCGGCATCGGCACGCGCGCGCGCGTCCCAGAGGCACCGAAGATGGCACCAGCTCGGGTTCGTTGTCCCGCTCCTGGGCCGACAGGGGCTGCGGTCGCGTTTGTCGCAGCCAGCTCGTCGTCGTCATCGTCATCCGGCCGCCCGTCCGTATAGAGCGCACGACGCACGGCCTCGTGCGCGGATCCGTGCCCGCGCCCATAGAGCGCGATCTCAGCCCCGGCCCGGCAACGGCTCACGGCTTCTTTAGCGCCTGCCCCTGGACCGCCAGGCCCATAGGTGACGGCAGCCATGGCCAGGTGCCCCGACGGCAACTCCCTAAGTTTGTGCCTGGCCTTGCTGATCGCACCAAGTATGATCTCGGCCTCTTTCATGTGGATGTGGGCCTCGAGGGCCTTCAGGGCTCCGCCCGAAATCAGTGGTGGTACGTCCTCGTCCACCAAACTGATCCTAATCACGGCTCCCTTGCCGTCCCATTCCATGGGCAGCAACAGCGCCTGGGAGCTGTAGATCGTCTTCCCAGGTCCGAAGCGGTACGGCTCGCGTTCCGCGACGGTTTCGAGCTCGATGCCCCAATTCTTCCTAACGTAAACGGCCAGGCGCCAGTACCACCGGAGCCCTGCCACGGACTTAGCACACGCCGTGTCCACGACGATCAGCCAGACGGCGTCACCCGTCTCTGCTACGAGCACGGACATCGGATGTCCTGTGGCGGCTTGAAGGTTGGAAGAAGGAGGGGAGGAGCATGGAGAAAAGGCCTGAACACTCATCCTCTCTCCCGCGGAGCTCGATTGTCGTCGCACCAGGTGCTGCCTCCGGCAGCTGGTCTTTCTTCGAAGCGGCTGGCCCTTAGTCGCACCGGCTGGGATTGTCGCACCGGCTGGGACTGTCGCACCGGCTGGCACACGGCTCGTGGCATTCTCGCTCTTCCCCGTCGGTGGAGCTTTCTCCTCCTCCTGCTCCTGTTCCTGCTCCTACTCCTCCGTAATGGAAGGGGGGGGAGAAAAGGAGCGAGGAGGGGTTTTGAGGTCCTTTTTCGCGCTCCGCCGCCAGCGCCGCTGGCTCCGCCAAGTCAACCTCCCGCTCCGCGGGCTTGTCCACGCGGGCCACGACCCACGTGCCCTTGCCTTCCGCGCCAGCCGCTTTCCCAGCCGCGCCGGCCTTCCCGGGCGCCCGGGGGCACTCGGGATCGTCCTTCCAGTGGCCCAGCCTGCCACATCGCTTACACGGGAGCGTCAGCTTGAGTTTCCTGACGCGCTCGGAATCGGCACCTCGGCCTCCGCCAGCCCTGCCGCCAGGTCCGCGGTAGAAGTCACGCGCCTTCTCGGCCTCGGCGCGTGCTTTCTTAGCCTGCGTCATGAGCACTTCGTTTTCTGTGAGGAACGCCTGGAGCTCTTCAGGCACCATATCGTTCTCCGCGATACTCGGGTCCACGTCCGCCTCCACCTCCGAATCAGGCTCCTCGTAGCCGTCATCCTCCTTAGCGGATGTGCCGAAGCCCGCGGCGTCGGCGCCGTCGCCCTCAGCCTCGGCTTCGGCGTTCTCGGTTGCGTGAACCTTTCGGGCACCGCCCCTGCCCAGAGGTTTACCCGGCCTCCGCCGATTCCTGTTCACGTACTCGCGGTTGACTCCGCTGAATGGCGCCGCCGCCCGGGTCCTCAACATGGAGACGCGGGGAATGCAAGCCTTAGCCGAATCGCGGAGCTTCTCGTAAACCAGCTCGTTGCCAGCACCAGTGATGATCTGGCTCTCCTTGTCGCCGCCCACGCGCAGTTTCTTCAAGAAGTAGTGGGCTTTCAAATGCCTGTTGAGCGGTTCCTCCATCGACTCTTCGAGCTCGCGCACCTTGGCCTCATACCGCGTCTCGAAGTCCAGGACCTCCTCGCCAGCATTTCGGCTAAGCTTTTCGACGAACTCGTCTACGAGCGTACCGACCTTCAACGTCTCCTGTTGGTCGTACCTCTCATGGAGGTAGCGTAACAACACCCGGACGCCGTCCGGCCTAGCGAGGCTCTCGGGATCGAAGTTCTCCGTTTTGGCTTCCGCGTCTCCCTTGAGTCTCGAGAGAAGTCGCCCACACCGACGCTCGGGAGGGATGGCCGTGTTCAGCTCGAAGATCTTCACGCGACGCTCGTACGTCCTCAGAGGCACGGCCTTCCCGTCCCATTCGGGCACGAACTTATCGTCGCCGCGTTCTTGTCCTGAGGTCCCGCCGTAACCGCTAGACCGTGGATGCCAAGCGCGTTGTCCCCAGTCGTCAGCCCAGGCGTAGTCCAGCCAGTACTGGCCCGCGCTCGTCTCTGGAGGCTGCCCCCACTCCTCAGACCAGGGGCGGACCTGCCAGGACCAACCCGCAGAAGCACGCTGCCCATCACCTCCCAACCCTCCGGAGGTGCAGCGCGCATCCCAAACCTCGGGTTCTGGTTGAGTGCCCTGCCCACTCAACGAACCCCAACTGCCACTCCAGCTTTCGCTGCTTCCCCACGGTTGTGGGGTCCACCAGGAGACGCCGTCCCCCCATGAGGCACCGCCCCACCATCTGGATCGCAATGATCCGTCTCCGCCCTCTCCGCGGGCCTCGGAGGCGCCGCCTCCAGAAGGAACTTCAGGCTCGGCGCGCCGCGCCGCTTCCCCTTGGGTTGCTGCCCAAGGGTCCCAGTCGTGAAACCACCGCTGCGTGGTATCGTCCCCCGCCGCAGCCGCGGCGGCTGCTCCCTGCGCCGCAGGGTCCGCACCCTGCTCCGCAGGGGCACCAATGAAAGCCTCAAACATCCCGCACCGTGGGCAACCACACCGTGGCTACACCCGTCGCGCCCCAGCGACGGATACCGTGCCGTGGATCGAACCCGCTCGGTAGCTCCGCTACCAATATTGAAGTGAAGATACTTTTTCCTCACAAGCGGGCCAGGCAAGGCAAGCGGTAGCTGCGCACCTGCCCGACTAATGCCCTAAGCAGCCCCTCCGCCCTCTCGTCGGGGCCGCCAGAGCCGAAAAGGCTCCGGAGGAGCATCGCAAGAGACAACTTCAACAACGGGCATGGCCGGCCGTAGTTTGTAGCTCTGCTCGTTCTCCTCCAGTGTCGCCTGTTTGTGGCAGCCGGGTGCGATTTCCCTCCTTTGCCTTTTCCCCTCGTTCCTCATCCCCTCTTTCTGCCCTCCCCTCCTCTTCCCCCTCCTTTTTTTGTTGGTGGGTCCGAGGCTTTGCTTAGGATCCTATGCCCGTCCCCTTAGCGGGGTCGGGACTGCTTTCCCCTCTTGCTTCTTTCTCCTCCTCCTCGTCTTCCTCCTCCTGCCTCCCTTCCCCTCCCCTCCTCGTGGTGGCGGGGCGAGGCGTTCGGCTTCCGGGGGCGGCTACAATGCCAGAGCGCTGGCGCCGTCCCGCTTGCGCCGGTCGGGCGTTGGGGCCCGCCGTCCGCCATGGCCTCCCTATTTTGATTTTCACTTGGTTCGTTGGGCCGCTTGCTCATTTGCTGCCTTTCCCTGTCTTCGTAGGTTCGTGGTTCTTCACGGCCCGCTCAGGGGCTTAGGCTTTTCATGCGCGCAACCGCTTGGATCGCCTGGTTCGGCCCCCGTTCCCTGCTCTTGTCCTCCACCTTTCCCTCCCTCGCGCCCCCCATGGGCTTTGCTTCTTGGAGGTTGTCTCTCGTTTGCGTTTCTTTGCAGTGCAATTTTGGCCAGGGCCTCGGTGTGATTCCGAGGGGTGTCCCGCATGCCGCGGTCGAGCGCTTACGGGCGCGCGCGGAAGTAGAATAGCAAACATTTTCCCTTTGGGATTTGTGGCTGTTCTTCCTCCTCCTCCTCCTCCTCCTCCTCCCTCTTCCTCCTCCTCCTCCTCCTCCTCCTCCTCCTCCTCCTCCTCCTCCTGTGCCCTACTTCGTTGGAGATTGCCGAGTGCCGTGAGTTGAAGAGGCCGCATTCCGCTGCCATTTAGGCCCTTTCAGTTTCGCGCTGAACAGGGGCCTTCCGCCTGTGCATGCCGTGGGGGCTGGACGCCTTGGCGCGCGACCTGACGCAGGCCGCCACCACAGCGCTGGTGGTGCGGTCAGGCGTCCCGTCGTGCCCCGACTGTGTCTGCTCGCCCGTGCTGACGTGCCCGCCGCTGACCTGCACCTGCCCTGGGGGCGAGGGGTATCTCAGCCCCACCGCCGCCGAGGGGTGCTCGGCGGCAGCGCTGGCGGTGGTCGCCGGCACCTGCCTCCTCCTGGGGGCCGCCGCAGGGGCCGCGGGCGCTCTCTGGGCGTTGCACCCCTGGCCTGCACCGAGCGCCAGCGCGCCGTGCCCAGTGGCAACGTCTGGGACGCCCGCCACGGCGCTGGCGGTGGCAGCTGAGGCGGAGGCGCTGGAAGACGTGCAGGCGGTGGCCGCGGCGCAGGCGAGGGCCTTCCGTCGGGCACGGGCGGTTGGGCAGTGATGGCGGCGCCGCTTGGTGCTGGAGGCTTCGGCCTCACGAGGTACCACGTCGGCGGGGTCGAGGCACACCACGAGCGGGTGCTCCTCTACGGGACTGGCTACGGTCTGACGCCAGACATGGACGACTACGGAGAAGGGCTGACGCCGGACGTGGACATCCACGGCGTGCGGCCGCTCGCGGGGCGGGGGGGCCGGGCCGGCGGGGTCGTGGAGGCAGCGGCGGCGCCAGCTGAGGCCGTGCCTGCTGCAGTGGTCGGACCGCCAGTGGCCGCCGCGGCCGCCGGCCCAGCCGCGCTGGGGGAGGCCGTGGCGGCTGCCCCTGGGCGTGCGCCGGCCGTGCCTGACGGCGCCCCCGTCCCCCCGCTGCCCTCTGGGGCTGCGCCGCCAGGCCAGGTGTGGGTGGCCGCGGAGGACGTCGACGGGCTCGTGGCGTTCGGCGCGGAGCCACAGGGGGTGCCGCCAGGGGAGTGCAGCTGGACTGGCGCTCCGGGCGCCGCGGCGGCTTCGCGCTCCCCGCTGGAGGCGCCGCTTTCGGGGTCCTGCTGCAGCAGAACGAGGTGGCGTACTTCTGGCAGCAGTCCCGAGGCAACGACGCGGGGACGCTAGAGGTGCCCGCCACGTCTGCGGCGACAAGCGGGCCGGCACGTGGCTGGCGCGAGGTGGTCCAGCGGTGCCACCAGGAGCCGGAGGCCGACTTCGCGGTGCCAGGGCCGTGGACAGCCGCATGGTGTGCAGAGTACCAGGTGAAGGAGGGTGATCCGGCGCTCCATCATGATGTGTGGAAAAGCCGCAGGAGGCTCACCTCGACGGACTTCGGCGTCGACATGCACGACACGCTCTCGCGCATGATTGAGGCCATGGGCGTGTCGTACCATCTGGGCGTCTTCAACTTGGCGAGCGCCGAGATCGGCTGTCGCAAGCTCCAGTTGTTTCCTCATTACTGGGACGACCGCGGTGCCGAGCAGCAGCAGAACAACAGCAAGATCCCCCTGGAGGAGAGCCAGGCCTTCATGGGCGGCGCACGTGCGCCTTCGATGGTGCGCGCCGAGCTGCTCGACACCGCGTCGAGGGATTTGGAGCGCATCTCACGCATCAAGAAGAACTCCAGGAAGCTGAGGGAGGAGCAGGCCGCCGCCGCTAAGGCCAAGGGCGCTCCTCCCAAGACGGGATGATGCTGGGACCGCCACCGGGGATGCCTCGACCCGGTGGCGAACCTTTGGAGAGGCTGGTGGATAGCGACGGACATGTGCAGCGGTCGTTTCTGCCGTTGCCAGTCCCGGACTGGCGCC